ACAACATCTTGGATTTCGAAAGTTCCATCATTTAATCCTTTGATACATTGTATTTCACATATTCCAAGGAGAAAATCCTCTCCCACCATTATCTAACCTAAATGGATTAAACGACAACATACTGGATGTCGAAAGTTCGATTCCTTAATCCTTTGATACATCGTATTACACATATTCCAATGAGAAAATCCTCTCCCACCCTTATCTAACCTCAGCAACAACATCTTGGATTTCGAAAGTTCCATCATTTAATCCTTTGATACATCGTATTTCACATATTCCAAGGAGAAAATCCTCTCCCACCATTATCTAACCTAAATGGATTAAACGACAACATCTTGGATTTCGAAAATTCCATCTTCTAATCGTTTGGTACAAAGTACTTTGCATATTCTAACAAGAAAATCCTCTCCCACCATTATCTAGCCTAAAAGGATTAAAAGACAACATACTGGATGTCGAAAGTTCGATCCCTTAATCCTTTGATACATCGTATTACACATATTCCAATGAGAAAATCCTCTCCCACCCTTATCTAACCTCAGCAACAACATCTTGGATTTCGAAAGTTCCATCATTTAATCCTTTGATACATCGTATTTCACATATTCCAAGGAAAAAATCCTCTCCCACCATTATCTAACCTAAATGGATTAAACGACAACATCTTGGATGTCGAAAGTTCCATCATTTAATCCTTTGATGCATAGTATTTCATATATTCCAAGAAGAAAATCCTCCCTCACCATTATCTAATCTAAATGGATTAAACGACAATAATATTAGATGGCGAAAGTTCCATCCTTTCAATCTCTTGGTGCATAGTTTGTATTGTTCATATACCAATAAGGAAGTCCTGTTTCGCCATTATTCTCCTAAACGGATTAAGCAACAACATATTGGATGGCGAAAGTTCCAACCTTTAATCCTTTGGAAAACTAAATTATGAGTAGGATATTATACAACGAACACCAGAGAGCAATATTTGATAGAAAGAACAAACACTTTCAAATAATATCCAAACAGAGATACTGTATCACCATATCCAGTGGATAATTTCAACATTCTTATTAAATTTTTTCAACATTTGACACAATCGGCAAATTCTCTATCCGTGGAACTTGCTTTCTCAGTACTCCTTTCAGATAAATTTATATTGTATACCTAACAGGTGAACTTCATTACGGTAAAAATAATCAAAGGTTTTCTGGCCATTTTGTATATGTATCTACTAGGTACTACATTTTTATTCATACAAAACGCCCTGTATCTTTGCGGTTAGAGGACACCTGCAGAATCACTGACAGGTGTAATTTAATACGTCCACATACTATTTGACAGGACCACAGCCGAACTGCAGCAGTAAAATATCGGCCTTAATAATGGGGACACGAGAAGTCGGTTCTGTTTATATAACAAACTGACGTCGGTCGCTCAGAGTTGCATAATAAATTATATCGTCGGTCCGCGACCATGAGAACGCGGACCATAGGAAGGCAAAAAAAAGATGGTAGAAAACAAATTTCCAGATGGTAATTTATCTCTATCTAGCCCACCTACTACGACCTCTCGATAAGGAGAATCTTTTTATGGGATTAGATTGAGGTATCAATCTATGCCGTGTTTAAAGTAAAATAATCCAAACAAATTGAGTTGAGATCGTCTTTAAACTAACCCACAGCTTTTAATCTTCAGATCTGAAAATGAATACTCACATTTTTCACTAAACGACATGGTCTGCATACTAATATCGATAGTATCGAGAATAATGTCGAAAATATTGCATTTACTACAGTTCAAAAAGAGGAACTAATAAACTGAAGTTTCACATCCAAACTTACTTAAGATGAAATATGGTATAGTAAGTAATCATAGTGACTCAATGCTTTCTTCAGGTAGAAAAGTAATCTTCTAATCTTCTTTTTTTCACCTGAAGGCATCATAGTATGACGAAATCGCGTACACAAAGAGCTTTCTTACCTTTTTTTTACATTCACACAAACAGTCAACAAGTGTGGTGACTGACCTTTACCGTTGTTTCTGATGCATAACAAAATAATTTGTAACTCAACTGCTATGTTATTTCTGTAATAATATAATTCTTCATACCATTTAGCAAAATATTCACATGAAAGTTTTTAGAGCACAAATTATAGTACGTACTCGATTTTCTCTTACATCGCTGGATAAATTTTTCAATTTCAATATTCAGTGTGACACATATCTCCAGAAGCGTCGTGCGTGAAAAATATGTTCCCTCATGATAAGACTAGTTGGATACGCACTTTCATTCCTTCCTATGCTAAGCTAACATTCTTAACTATTTGCGAACAGTAATGGATCTTTATCTGGACCTTATTATTCCTGTTTCTGCCTCCAATATGTCTCTTGCTAGCCCTCCATGTCTCGCAAGGTGTTCTACCTCTTAGCTCTCCATTTCCCCATTGATTTCCAAAATGCCCTGTCTGTTCTCAGACTTTTTCCGATATTTTCTTTTTTTTAACCGTTTTTATTCACGACATTTTCATCATCCGAATTCACACTTAATCAGTGTTTCTAACTTTCGTACAACTGCGTTTACATTTAAAACCAAAAGTGCTAATTCACATTTCGCTGTTTTATATTTCACTTGATTTTATTTTTCTTCCTATTAAATTTAATTAAGGAAATCCTGAAGAAATTCTTTTTAAACGAAAGTTTCAGGTATTTACATAACAATAACAAGAAATACAAAATACAAAATCTAAGTATATTGTATTTTCATTTCCTCTTCTTCATTTCCTTTGAAAGAAAGATGTGTCTGTTGTGACTGGCACGTTTCTGACCTTGTACGAGTCTTTTATTGAGCCAGGATAGTTTTCTCCGTCATAAATTGGACGAATATCTCCCGTTATTTTTGCCATTACAACAAATCAAACGTGTTAAGTGCAAGACGGAGCCTTGGTTTACGTCATCCTTCTCTCGGTTCCACGCCGTCGTAAACCACATTAGTAGGACACAACGCGATCCTGGCGTTAATTACGTCCGAATTAGGAGAGTGTAATGGGGCACTTTTGTTGGATTAGTTCAACCAACCGGGGGTGGCATGACGCGACAAACGATGCTTCGCGTCGCGTCGCTGTC